AGTTGAAATCCAAGAACATCTGGGGATCCAAGGTTGGGAACCACTACTGTACATTAAAGGATCCCCGAAACCAGATTCTCCATGATTTCTTACAATCACATAGTGTAGTGTAGCCATCCTGTTTGCAGTTTAGTTCATGATAACTGTGGCCTGGGTCCCAGATGAAGAACAGAATTTCATATAACTCACTCTGCCTCTGCCAAAGGTTATCTGGGTCCACCCATGTACTTGCTAGTACAAAACAAAACAAACAAAATCCAGATAGGCATTTTACATTTAACAAAATAACTACAGTGGTGCCCCGCTTGACGATTACCTCGCTGTACGATGAATCTGCTGTGCGATGAGATTTTTGCAATTGCTATTGCGACCACAAAACGATGTGTCTATGGGAAAACCTGCTTTACGATGATAGGTTCCCTGCTTCGGGAACCGATTTTCTGCTTAATGACGATCAAAACAGCTGATTGTTGGGTTTCCAAAATGGCCGCCCACTGTGCAAAATGGCTCCCTGCTGTGTTAGGGATAGATTCTTCGCTCTACAGGGAACAGAAAATGGCCACCCTATGGAGGATCTTCGCTTTACGGTGAGGTATTTCGCCCATTAGAAAGCATTAACTGGTTTCTAATGCATTCTAGTGGGCTTTTTACTTTCGCTTGACAATTTCGCTCTACAGCGATTTCGCTGGAACGGATTAACGTCGTCAAGTGAGGCACCACTGTAGTTTGTTCCTCATTCCCTCCCCTATAGACTAGAATGAAGAAGTCAGCCACTTCCCGCAACTAATGTTGCCAATTCAACATGTCTTGTTTAGTATCTCTCTTACTGCGTCTGTGATGTTTAGCATACATTCCTCCCTTGTACACGAGGGTGACGTGAGCCAAAATGTGTCTGTGATGATGCTAAAGAAAAGTGGTTCCTGAAGTAATCCCTGTTTTTGTAAAAGATCTGAATAGTTCAAATCAGGCTCAGGCTCAAAGCCAATTTGCAAATGTTGAGCAGCTGAAGTTTGCCCATGGCTGACTCTGCTTTCCAAAGAGTCATTTCTTTTGGCAGAAAGCCACCCCAAATGGAACACAGGTCTACATGTGCTTTGTTCACTTAAGATAAAGACACGGAAGTAAAAAAAAGGACTGAAGTGGGCATGTTTAGAGCAGAGTACTCTAAAAGTTGAAATCCCTACAGATATTACAGGCCCAATTATGGACTGGTTAAGCTGTTCTATTTTTAAGCCTTCTGTTCGCAGGAAGCTGTCATTAAAATTTCCCTTTACAGAATGCTTTGACAGCAAAATACTGTAACATTTCCCGAACTGCACTCATTTAGTTTCTTGCAGTGGTGGAAAAGGGGAGACCACAAACATATACACAAATGAGGTTTATAATTCAAACAGGCACTCTCGAATATGGGTCTGCTTGTAACCCCAAATCAATTTGGGATAGTCTTTGACTGAGGCTAACCATAGGGAAAAAATTATAATATCGAATATATGCAAGTCGGCACTTATGGGAAAGTGCAATGACACATTATTGTTCAGAGGAATGCCTAGGGTTGCATCCGACTGACCAAGGAATGTTTTAAAGGGATCAAAGTCAGATGCACTCCATTCCGTGCATACAGTTTTTATAAATATCTAAAGTAAGCTATACATGGTCTTAGGTAGGCTTCTCTTTGTAATCTCTTGCTAGTAATGGTATTAAAGTTTCAGGTTTTTATTGACTGGTAACTAAAAATCATTTTAAACCAACACCAACCAAGTGAAAAGCAAAGGTGGTAAATTTGCAGTCTGTAACACCAAAAGAGCCATACATTCTACACTTTTGTTTTAAACAGTGCAAATTTTAATCCACAGAAGACACCCTGCCCCCTTTAAGTTCCATGCCAAGAAAAGACATTTTCTTGGAGGTGCGCAGCCCTGACTCCTCTTGCTGCCATTTTGAGATTCACTCAATGCACCAAGAACTGAACAGGCAATCTTAAAAAATTAGTTCTGTACATCTTGAAATGCGGGGATCTGAGCAACTTCCTCATTTCAAATCATAATAAAGTTCACCATCTGTTCTGTTGACATGGTTTTCTCATGTAGCTGAAATAATCTTGACATGGACCCTCTGCTTTCTACAAATCATGTATTCTACATGCTACTGCAATATAGTAGCTTCCAGATCTGCAGGAATACTGCTGGCACCAGGGCTGACCCTGTCATTAGGCAGAGAAAGGCAGCCATTTCAAAAGAGTACATTTTGAATGTAATGAAAAGATATCAGGTGAGAATTGCCTAATTCCTAATACCTAACTGTTGTATCTTTACAGTTAATGATGGGTAAATAGGCCAAAATAATTTGAGTGGCTTTGAGTATTATATTCTTTAACTGGGTGGCGCTAGAGAAAAAATCTATACTCTGCTTCAGGCAAAAACATATCTTGAGCAGGCCTGTAAGCATATTCTAGGAGTTGAACAGAAATTGGTCTTCCTTTCTTCCTTTCATGTACCTGAAAGCTGGTTCACCCAAAACAGAAGGCATATATGGCAATGCTTTAACTTCCTCTCTGTGGCTGCTACTTTGGAGGCAGAGAATTAACAATTTTCCAAATACCAATATCAGTGTCTGAAGTTTGCAGAAACAATGGAGGAAAAAATATCTCTCAGTGCATATGCCTAATATGCACACATGATTTGCTACAGAGAAAAAAATCCACCCAAGAACATATTTATATGAATATGAATGGTGGTATACGTACATATTCTACAAACAAAACAGACTAATTAACAAATTCCCCAGATGGAACAGTGTAAAATCTAGTATACTTGCAAGGTGTTTCAACTGCACAGACACTCTCTGAAATTGAGACTTTGTGGTTGATTAACACACAACTTGTTCAGAGTACAAAAATAATACCTATCACCAAAATATTAAATACACCACTGCTTTTCTTAAGGCTGTAGTGAGCCACAGGCAGAATTGAAACACACAGCACTCAGACTCTGCATCCTCATCACCTTCTGTGGCAGAAAAGGGCTGAGACAGGCCAAACTATTGTACTTATGCTTAATTTATGGCTGTGCATCAGTTATGGAATATCATTACATGAACTGGTTCTGTATTGAAAGACCTGAGACAGAGACATCTAGTTTGGGGAATTACCCAATCAAGGCTGCTAAGCAGAATGCAATAGCTCAAATCCTATATTTTCCAAACCACAGAAGAATTCTTTTAAAATACTTTCCCTTCAGTCAGCAGTCTATTCACGCCATCACCTCTCTCTCCTCCTTCCTTTTTCTTCCAAAAAACCTCTTTCAAAACAAAGTCTTAGAGAGCTAAAGGTCCTTCAAAAATGGTTACATGTTAAATTTTTAGAGCCATTCTGCATAAGACAGGTCCCCTGATTTGTCTCTATACCAGTTTTTTCCTTTACTAGTGCCCTTAGTAGGATGAAATGTTTTCATAGCTTGATCTCCAAAGAGGGATAATGAAGTAAGCCTGACATAAATGTAGTATCTGTGATGGTCACCTGCAGGTGTTAAATGTCACCTCAAGTGTCTGCTGTTTTAAACATCCATTGTTTGCTTGGTTTCTTACTACAAATTCTATGTCTCACTTGCCTCTTTTTATGCATGCTCAAACTTGGGCAAGTGAAGCAGTAAAATAGAACAACACCTTGTCCCAGGAAATGTTATGATAGCTGCATGCAATTTCAGTGAGGTTTGACAAAGAGACATGAAAAGCAGGTTTCCTCAATGGATCTCTCTTTAGTGCAGGAAATGCAGTGTACTGTACATTGTATGCATGCTATGAAAAGGACAGATCTTCTTCATGGCACATGCACAAACAGTACTTGGTGATGTCTTACCATTGCATTTCTGCATGTGTTCATAACATGCAATATCATACAGCCTATTTCACACAGTCCTTGTAAGAAATAATCTTGTAAATAGTCAGGTATAATGATAATACTAATATTATGTACTAAATCTTCCTGTTACACTGAGGTTTTGCAGTGCAAAGTTTAGGGCTTAACATCACAGATTAAAAACTCTTAAAAGGTTCTCTTTCAGCTTCGTGAACCGAATAATCAGACGTGACGGTAAAGATGATGACTGGCAGATATTGCAGGTATCTAGTTTTTGGTTTCATTAATAAATCTAGGCAAAATTTCTAGATACCAAATTGTACCCAGAATTTGAACCTTATGGCATGTGTCTTCTGACCCTAATACAGTGAATACACTTTAGGTTGTTAAGAATTCAGGTAAGCACGAATCCACCAATTTTAAAAGTTGAGTCTTTCAATATTCCTTTTCTCTACTACTTTCAACCGCCTTAACTTCCCTTCTCTCTGCTGGAAAAGCCCAATTGGCAAAGTATACAAGAACTTAGTAAACCATTTAGCAAATGTTTCTCTTTAGCCTACACATGCCAAGAGGTAATACATTTCATTTATTTTAGTGAGATTTCAAAGGGACAGAACCAGCCTCTCTTTGAACATCTAGAAACTTCCAGTGGTTTCAGAAGTCGTTCCAAACTGTGGACTTAAAAATGTATTTATAAAACAAAGTATTGTTTAAAAATCCATCCCTGGTCTGTGTGACTTCTTGAAGGGAATGGTTGGTGGCAGCTTAGTGTAACTGTGTGACATATCCCAGTAGGTCTGGGTTTGTCACACATACAATGATGAAATGGCTTTTTCCTGCTTTCCTTTGGCTGATATCTGACTCTTCAAAATTAATAGCACTAGAGCTTAGAAGATATGAAAGAGCTGCTTGTGAAAACACAGGCTGTCCATGGAGCTACTAGTTGACATTTGTTCCCATCTCAACATGCTCAGCAAACAGCCACCAAACTTTGCTTTATGCCACCTTGTTTCTGTTGCAAAGGAAACAAGAACCAATTAAATGTGACACACTTTCCAGCCATCTTTAGCATTGCTGAATCACAAGAGAAGCAGCAGAAATCAGTATTTATGCCCTTCAAGAGAGCATGTCTCAGAAAGCTATTCACCTCGACTCTGCTGCCTGTTGACCATCCCTCCCAATGTCCACCGCCGGTCCAGGCGTCTCAGGTGAGCCTTGCGTCTCTTAGAAACTATTTTAGAAAAGGGATGAAAACAGAAGAAAAGAAAGAAAAATAAAAAATGATGGATGGGTGGAGAACAAAACCCAACATGAACGAAATCACAAGGGCTGATCTTAAATTAGTATGAATGGAATGTCATATTATAATGAGGTTAGTCTTACAAGATGTAATGAATAGATAATTACTTGAGATCTCGACACATGAACAGGGTGTATTTCCCACTATACATCTAGTGGACAGCAATAATACTAATGAACTGTAGTAGATTTCCTGTGTGCAGAAATTTTGAAGCATCAACTGTCTTAAAAACAGCAGGAATCAAAAAGATAAAGATACCTTTGCTTTTATTTCATATTATAAAATTGTGGTGTTACTGATATGTTACTTTAATTTAAAAAAAAGCAGTTAAAAGGACAAAAATGGCTTAACTTTCTCAACATTATTCCCAAAAGCAATGTATTAAAATGATGTGAAATATTAATCATTGCTCACGCCATTAATGCCACTAATGCCAAAAACATAAAATGATGGCTTTTAAAATGACTGTTAAAATTATAATGAATCATGGATAACAAATTTTTAAACAAATTAATTCTTGGATCCATGCTGAAGAGAGTCTTCTGGAGTAGTATGCATCAGAGAATGTGTATTTGAAAAACCATCTCCTCTCCTTAAAGGAAATTTTTAAAAATTATGACTACAGTAAGAATGGCTGTAAGTGGTTTGTTCCAAGATATCTATTCAGAGCATGTTACCATAGTCTCTCGAGACTGAAGGATGCCTACATAAAGTGGTTTGTATATGAGATGTATATCTTATGCTTGGAGATCACCTTTCTTCCCCATCCCCAACTTTAGGGTGTCTGAAGACATAAATACGTCATATCAAACCTGCATCCCAATGCTCTGCTAGATACAGACGAGTAATTCATAAGATTATAAACAATCTGTGACTATGAGATTACTGTGCACAGAGGACACCTTATTTTTTTGACAAAGGGTATTCTCAATCACATTTGTATCTGATACTGCATTCCAGATTCCTTCAGCTCATTTAATACCAGGCTGGGATTCATGAAATAGCTGGTGATAAAAAGCAATAACCTCTGATTTCAGGAAGTGAAAGAGCTCCTATGTGATGTGCCTAGCTGAGGGTGGGTAGGGATGCTTAACCTTAAATCATGGCCCTCAGTCCCCCTCCCCAGGTCTGATAAGATTACCTTCTAGCGCTTCATTCCAAAACCCTTTCACCATCTAGGACCCTTTCTAAATATTACTACTTTTCCTTTAAAGTCCTTTCACATACAAAAATGGCTGTCTCCTCCTTTTCTGTCAGCCAGTTTAACCTTTCTTGTCATCTAGGTCTCATCCTCAACTGGACATAGACTAACACCACCCCTCATCTCTCTGTGACCCCAAATGGTGTTGACTAACCATTCCATGGTATTTGACACATGGACTGCTTAGGAAAATGAAGCTAGAGAGGGGCTCATGGCATGTGGTGTGAAATGCGTATCTAAATGCTATTATGGCTTAGCATATCAGCTATCAGTGGTTCGACCTTTTTGCTTTCTATGGACAGCAATAATTAAAAACTGTTCAATAACCTCCATAAATTGCAGTACAGATGGGAGTTATAGGATATGCTGGGGCCTATTAACAGAAAAGGTCTGATATGATAAGGATATGTTCACTAGCCCTCACTTAGATATTGTATTTCTAAGTGTCCTAGAATCCCTTCCCTGAGGGCTTTGTTCAAGGCCCCAAAGGAAGTGCTGTAGATGCCAACAATGTTGTAACATTTAAATGCTGACAGGAAACTTTTATCTGGCACCAGAGCAATAATGCATATTAGGCCATTCCTTTCAGTAAGACTGAGGAGAATCAGTATACTGTACACAGCTCTGTTGGGATCACATCCTCTGTATAGCGTTATATGTAGACTCAAATGGTAAAGAATATACGATGAAAAAATCAATGAAGAGATTTAAAGTGAAAGAGAATAAATCTTATGATAGAAGATGGCAGATTCAACAGTAACTGAAATAGGGCAGCTAAAGCCAATAGCTTTGGACAACAGGCTGTCTGCTGAGATTAATAGCAATATTAGACAGAAGGACTTTCAAATTAAGGAAAAATCAAAACAATTACAAAAATACAATAAAGTGCCTTTTTTTTTGCTCCATAAGACGCAGTCCCCCCCAAAGAAAAAAGTGGGGAAGAAAGTATGTGTGCCTTATGGAGTGAATACTGTAAAAAAGAGTTCAGCCACCGCCACCACCCAGAAGCCTCCCACAACCATGCTGGGAGGCCTCTGAACTGGCTGCTTGCCCTGGCAAGAACATTGTTCCTGGCTTTGTGTAGCCTGACCTGTTGTGCCTTCCATGCTATAAACGTTCAGTTATGTCAGAAAACTGAGATTTGGTCTTATGCTGAGCATGTGCCACTGCTGGTGAATGGGATCAGGTTAAGCTTTGTGTTGCTGTTCTTTTGCATAACCTAAGGTAAATAAGGAAAACCAGCTGTTAAATAGTTTAATTCCACTATTTATCTTCTACACAACTAAAAGGGACCTCTCAATGCAGTGCCAAATCAGACAAACCATTTCTAACTTAATATAGGCTTGAGCTGTAGCTGAGCAGAGTTGCACAACAATCTCATCTGCCATTGAGACATTTCTATAAGCATGGGGAGGAGATGGATGAAAGGAAGTGTAAAATATAGGTACTGTAGTGTGGTATAGGTCTTATCACTGGCTGATAATGGTCTATATGTACTTGACTTAAATTTATGGTACACAGATTTATGGCACATAAACTAGAGTACACAAAGCTTTAAGTCTCTCCATTTGTTAATGACAGTGGTAATGGTTCTTAATGCCACTGTTGACTGCAGTTCACTTTACATGGTTCAAACGTTATTCTGTTATAGTTTATTAAATATTTTATTACACTATTTGGTTCAGAATATTTTTTTCCCTGTGTTCCTCCTCTATAAATTAGGTGCGTCTTAAGGTCAGGTGCTTCTTATGGAGCAAAAAATACAGTACTTGTATTTACTATGCATGTATATATATGACACCCAAATCTTTTATTTATAAAATAAAAACTGTTTCCAAAACCATATATATTGACCCTTATCTGTCTTCTGTAGGAGACTTGAAACAAATATTTTTAATCTTTTATGAAAATTATGGAACCATTATTACAAGTTGCTTAAAATCCTTAGCATAATCACTGTCCCACAAAATAAGAAATACTTCTGTTACAACTCCAAACTACACAACAATAAATATATGAAAAGAATGTGCATTCTTTTTGTGCCTGCTATTATTAGCTCAAGGAATCCTGGATGTCATTATAAGTGTTTTATGGCTGCATTTTTGTTTATACAAATAGCTAGCACTGGACTTTCCACAAATTTTTCTACTAATCTTTCATACAGGTGTGCCAGTTCTGACAGGGCAGGGGTCAGTTTCGATTACAATTTTTTCCGGAGACCAGTAATCCTGAAAGCTGCTCTCAGCATTCTTACCTTCCCCTCCTTTGGACATGTTAATTTCAGAATCATCTCTAATTCCACTTTGTGATTCCAGGTATGTGGCAGGGACCCAACCTTGTTCTTCTGATGTGCTTACAAACCACCAACCTGTAAGGATAAGCAGAGAAGGATGGTCACTGTAGACAGAGATGCACACGGATACAGATACAACCTCCTGTGACTTCTAGTTCTTCAAAACCTGTGTTTATCCCCTTTTTCTAATAAACTAACCATATAATGTAGGAACAAGAGGAACTTTAATAAAACGTTATAGTATATCCCCACTTCTCTAAGAGCGCAGCAGTCCAGTCCGCAGTCCAGTCCTCAGCAGTGGAGGGGGAAGAGGATACTGTTAAGAGAGAGGCAGAATGTTTGTGTGTGTAAATGGAACAACCTCCTTCCTTCCTTCCTTCCTTCCTTCCTTCCTTCCTTCCATCCTTCCTGTCTGTTACTGAAAGAACATGGAAAACAGCAATAACAAAATAATATAGTGGTGCCTCGCTTAATGAGTGCCCTTCCTTCCTTCCTTCCTTCCTTCCTTCCTTCCTTCCTTCCTTCCTGTTACTGAAAGAACATGGAAAACAGCAATAACAAAATAATACAGTGGTGCCTCGCTTAATGAGTGCCTCGGTTAATGACGAATCCGCATAGTGACATGTTATTTGTGATCGCAAAAGCGATCACATTACGATGTTCCTAATGGCCAAAAACTGCTTTGCGATGATTGGTAAGCGTTTCGCTTACCGATTTTTGCATAGCGATGTTTTTTTAACAGCTGATTGGCGGTTCCAAAATGGCCACTGGCTAAAGAAAATGGCCACCCGCACTGTTTTCGTGCCCTTTCCTCGCTTACCGGGCAGCGAAAATGGCGGCCGTATGGAGGATTTTCACAGAATGGTGAGTTTTTTGCCCATAGGAATGCATTAAACGTGTTTTAATGCGTTCCTATGGGCTTTTTTGCCCTGCATAGTGATGAATCCACATAGCGATGATAAATGAGTGCCTCGGTTAATGACGAATCCGCATAGTGACGTCTTATTTGTGATCGCAAAAGCGATCACATTACGATGTTCCTAATGGCCAAGACACATTTCTTTTCCCTCAACTCCTGTTGAAGCTTCCTTAGTCCTTGAGTGTCAAGAGGGCTAAAATCTGGGGCCAGCTGCAGACCCAAATCCAAACATTGTATTACTATACAGTGGTGTCGGTTAATGACGAATCCGCATAGTGACGTCTTATTTGTGATCGCAAAAGCGATCACATTACGATGTTCCTAATGGCCAAGACACATTTCTTTTCCCTCAACTCCTGTTGAAGCTTCCTTAGTCCTTGAGTGTCAAGAGGGCTAAAATCTGGGGCCAGCTGCAGACCCAAATCCAAACATTGTATTACTATACAGTGGTGCCTTGCTCGACAACGATAATCCATTTCAGGAAAATTGCTGTTAAGCGAAATTGTCATCATGCAAAAAAACCCCATTGGAATGCATTGAAAACTGGTTAATGCATTCCAATGGGGGAAATACCTGATTGTCCAGCGAAGATCCTCCATAGGACGGCCATTTTACGATCCCTGTGTTGTGAAAATAGGTCCGGAAAACAGCGGGGAGCCATTTTGCGAACCGCCAATCAGCTGTTTTTAATCATTGTCCAGCGAAAAAAACGGTTCCCGAAGCAGGACGTAAAGCAAAAAAACCCCATAGGAACATCGTTTTGTGATCGCTATAGTGATTGCAAAAAACTCATTGTAAAGTGATTTCGTCGTCTAACGGGGCCGTTGTCAAGCAGGGCACCACTGTATATAACAACACATGTCAAGGCAGAGGGATCTGCAAATGCTCCCATAATATAGTGATTGGTTTTGAGAACAAAATGGAACTGAAGAGCCAACCTGCACACACAAATATATTGTACAGCAGCCAGAGGAACCAAGCTGGCATTAGTTCCAGAGTCGATACCTGGACCAGCAGCTAAACCAAACTCTGAGTGTCCAGCAGTATACAACATGCAGCCCAACCTTCCAAAGGAGCAGAGCCAACAGAGAGACAGCACCAATATTGCAAAGACCTGAGCTTCACTCAAGTGCTTCACCTTAGAAGGAACAGCAGACCCCAGTCTCAACAGACCAGTTCCAGACAGCACACATGAGAACTTTCAACTGCTAAAGGGAGGCAAAGATCAACAGTAAGCCTCCCGGTTCTTCTAAGAAATCCACCTGTGTTGTTTACAGCAACCTGTTGTAAAGCGAGGTCCTGCTCAAGCAAGACAGGGATGGCTGGTAACCTAAAAGATAGCTAGTGGCGTCAACTAATTATGAGCTTAGCTCATGTCTGTTCTAGTGGCTGTGCTGGCTTGAAGATGACTCTGGTGTAAGAGTGCAATTGGAAAACTCCAACTGCCTGATTGCACCACAGAAGGTCACTTTAATGGGAATGATCTCACTTAAAGTAACCCTTCTATTGCTGGAGAATTGCTAAGCCCAGACTCAAAAAGTAGAAGCCCCAAACTGGACCAAAAACAGTCCAGCTTGGGCACAGATCAGAGGCAGGTATGAGCTTTATAGTCATTACCTTGTGCATAGTGTCACTGCTGAGAAAAGACTGCACCAGATGACCCTATAAGGAGCTTAAATTGCAATCTATTTCCCCATGTGGTCATATCCTAAGTGAAAGAAACAAGCAGAGAACACATCCTTTTAAATGCAGTTCCCTATAAAAGTCTCCATGCTAAGTGCAAATTCGATGCTATTGTTATTAGGCAATCCTCTCTGCTTCTCCCATACCTTATTTCTTGGGGAAAACCCAGCTTGGAAAATTATCAGAGTTATTAAGAGAGGGAGGGCAGGAAAAAATGAGCAAGAACTGGGCAGCTGAGTACAGGAACATGGAGAGAAGCAAAAGCACAAATAGATTCTGGGATGTTGGCTTTAGCTCTTATGCTGAACATCCTGGACTAAGTAGGTGCTTAAGGGCAATTTGATTTGAATTTCATGTATGTAAGTTAGGAGACAGTCATTCTTCAATGGGATGGGAAGACATCATCCACATGCCCAATAGATCCTCAGTGATTTTTTTTAAAAAACAACCTGCTGTGTTAAGGGTAGAGTTAATGCTCTTTCAGGTCAACTCAAGCTACACACTGCCAGTAAACTATAAGCTAGGGCTAATTTCATAATAGACATGCACCAAGATCAGAAATGATGGCATACGCTTCACAAATTATGTCTGCTTTAAAACATACCTACCATGCACCTCCACTTTGTCTTCGTCATCTAGGACCAGATTCAGAAGAGAAGGGGAGGACAGAGGGCTTTACTTTATGGTAAGATAAATTATCCTTTGAGTTGACATGAGATAGGCTTAACCCAGATCTTAAACCAACAGAATTTTTTAAATTAACAGTTTTCCATAATTTTAAATACGGTTTTGAAAAAGATTCATGTTGACCACTGTCTCCTATCCTTAATGTATTTCAGTCTTCTTTCTTGTTAGTCTCATAACATAACATCACATGCAGCTAGGCCAACTTTTGGGATAACAGACAAATACAACCAAGTTTCTGGAATCAGAAAGCAAAATTGTCGTTGTAAGTTGGCTCCAGAAAAATTGTACTGCTCATCTCTAGGATTTCTTTCTTTCTTTTTAAATAATATTTTTATTTGAACATATACATCTACAAACTACAACAAAATACAGTATGAAAAAAAATCCCCCTCCCCCTTTTGAGGACAGGGATTTCAACCTCATTTAAGTCCCAAATTTCCCAAGTTTCTAGAGAGCAGTATATATTGGAACCACAAAACGAAGCATCTACACCAGAATCAAAGAACATGAGAGACACTGCAGACTAAAACAACCAGAAAAATCAGCAGTAGCTGAACATGCCCTAAAACAAGTTGAACATGAAATTCTATTTCAAAGTACTGAAATAAAGGACAACACCAGCAATCATTACATTAGACCGCACAGGGAAGCCACAGAAATCCACAAACATCAGCAGATCTTCAACAAAAAAGAAGTTTGAAACTCAATAAAATTTGGCTCTCAGCACTGATAAATACAGTGTGCAAAAAAAGGTCAACAAACTCTACCCAGCCACAAGGACTGGTGATCACTACACACAAAAGACCAGGTAATGATACCCATCAATCACAGTGACAGATAATCTCTCCTCCTTATCACCCCACAATACTCCCAAGCAGAGATTTATTTTTGTTACTTCTGTCACACAGCAGGACCAAGAGTCTCCCAACCTGACATTCACTCACGGCACCTGGCTGTGCTAACAATAATGGAGGGAAGGGGGGGGGGAGAACCAATATAGTCAACTCATTTAGATGATGTTTTGGGTAGATACGCTGCTGCTGAAAATGAGGAGTTGTTAATGGTAAGGAAGGAGAGGAGGCATATCAAGCTGAACATGCATTTGTAATTATGGCACAGAAGTAAACAGACCAGAAGCTGATACACATCTGATCCTAATTAGATGTAAAATGGTCCTATGACTTCTTCTTCAGAAGTAAACTTAGCCTGAGTGAAAAGGGCTGCACTATAAAGTTAGCACTCTAGTAAAAACCATGAACTCTGAAGCATTTCATTTCACCCTGAACTTGAGTCTTGTGCACTAGCATTTCACAGCACAAAAAAGCTAAAACAGACCTAAATAGACCCAGCTTGGATCAGAGTAGGCTCATATGGCTTCAAAAATGAAGCTGAACAAATTATTGCATTCTCGTATAGGGGAAGGCAAAGCATTCCCAGAATCAAAGCAAACCTGATCAATATGAAAATTTCTTTTCAATTCCAAATGACTTGACCCTGACACATATACCTGTATGAGAGATGGGCAAAGTGCAACCCTCCAGATGTCACTGGAACACACCTCCCAACCCCCCCCCCCCCAGCTATGCTGGCTAGGGCTGAGGCAGTTGCAATGTAACATCTAGAGGGCCACACTTGGGCCACTCTCTCTTCCATGCAAGCAAACACACACACACACACACACACACACACACACACACACACACACACACACCCCTACCTATTTATATGACCAACTGGGCAATCCAGGAGCAACAACATCTGTCTTCTCTGCATGGGGAACAACAAA